CGGTTGTGATCGAGACCCAGGAACAAGATATGGAGCATGAGGGGGACGTGAATAGACCAGTCCAGGTCAACTCCATCCACCACTACGTCTGTCAGAAGCATTACTGCGACATTACACCTGCAAGGAAACAATCAAGCCTGTCCACTGATGATCAATGGTTCCTATGCAATGAAATTTTTACACCAAATTTGGTTAATCACAAGTATCTATACAAAATGAACACCGACTCAAACGCTAAACAACCTATGGGAATAAGCACTGAAAAGTTATGGGAAGAATTTTGACGTAAACACTCCTTGAAACGCTTTTGTTGGTATAAGATGCTACCAGAAATTTTAAATTAATAATTGCATAAAGCCCTGACCTATTTCATAATTTGTACTGTAGGGTGGAAAACTGTTTGTACATCTAACAGACAAATTATATTTTTAAGAAAAGCTCGATAAATTATACAAAAATCTTCATGTCTTTGTGTTTTCCCAAAACCTAAAATACTTAACACAAGTTATTAACACGAGGTCCAGAACACATAACAAACGACAATGTACGTATATTTGTAAAATTGGCTTACATGCTATATATTCTACTTATGCTCGAGCAATTGAAGATGTAACCCATCAAAAGTAAATAATCTTACGTTTCTACATCACATACCTATGAAAGCCACTTATTGGCTGCGAGCTATCTGGCAAGTACTCAGTAAGCGGAGCAAAGTAGCCACCGTACTCGGGCATAGGAAGGGGGTGGGGCTGAGGGATGTCAAATCTGTCGACGGTGCCCGCTCGCAGACAATACCCTTCTTCGGCAGGCGGGAGCTGAAAACGGGAACACAGAACTGAACCTACAGAATCCACTGAAGGCTGGTAACGGTCCATGAATTAAAATATTAAAATGTCAGAGCCCAATTCAGTTTTAACACGAGGCATATTTTAAGGCCTCGATAAATGCGACATTGGAATATGTGCATGTGATGGGCATAAAGAATATTCCCTATCTTTATATGCTGTTTCACATAAAGAACTAGAGGATATTAGGCTATAATTTATTCAAAATGATACCAGCTGAAGAGCCCTGAACCTCAAGCCATTGGAACAAACCTCTGGTTCAGTGGTGGGGGTAGACATATCGTCTGACAACATTGGCGGCCCACTGGCAGTGCGAGTCTTTTCAGTACGCGGTGGTGCAAAACTTCCAGCTAGAGCTCGCAGAGCGGAGTCTGACTTGGATGTTCTGTAAAGTATACAGAGTAAATTGTCAGTACGCATAACAATCCGGGCAAGACTCATCTCGTGCTGCTGCCTGCTCGTCAACTAAGGAAATAGAATTCGCACTAAATTAATCATCTGAGCGAACTACCATAGACAACACAATAAGCCGAAAACAACGACACAGATGTTCACTGCCTTAAACCCTTTTAGAATCCTGTGGTAACCACAAGTCCTTATACTTACAGAAAATGTGGATTTTGTATTAAGATTTTTTGCATGATTCTCACTGTAAACAGGAAAGTGTGAATTTTGTATTTATATTTTTTGCATGATTCTCACTGTAAACAACTATTATTTCCTTAAAATTATCTTTGTAACGGTGAAGTGCTGTGTTTTCTTCGCGGTACGGACTGGATTTTTAAATATTATTTCCTTAAAATGACCTTTGTAATGGTGAAGTGTTGTGTTTTCTTCGCGGTACGGACTGGATTTTTAAATATTATTTCCTTAAAATGACCTTTGTAATGGTGAAGTGTTGTGTTTTCTTCGCGGTACGGACTGGATTTTTAAATATTATTTCCTTAAAATGACCTTTGTAATGGTGAAGTGTTGTGTTTTCTTCGCGGTACGGACTGGATTTTTAAATATTATTTCCTTAAAATGACCTTTGTAATGGTGAAGTGTTGTGTTTTCTTCGCGGTACGGACTGGATTTTTAAATATTATTTCCTTAAAATGACCTTTGTAATGGTGAAGTGTTGTGTTTTCTTCGCGGTACGGACTGGATTTTTAAATATTATTTCCTTAAAATGACCTTTGTAATGGTGAAGTGTTGTGTTTTCTTCGCGGTACGGACTGGATTTTTAAATATTATTTCCTTAAAATGACCTTTGTAATGGTGAAGTGTTGTGTTTTCTTCGCGGTACGGACTGGATTTTTAAATATTATTTCCTTAAAATGACCTTTGTAATGGTGAAGTGTTGTGTTTTCTTCGCGGTACGGATTGGATTTTTAAATATTATTTCCTTAAAATGATCTTTGTAATGGCGAAGTGTTGTGTTTTCTTTTCGGTACGGACTAGATTTTTAAATATTATTTCCTTAAAATGATCTTTGTAATGGCGAAGTGTTGTGTTTTCTTTTCGGTACGGACTGGATTTAGAGACCGAACAGACTCAGCGGCATATATCAGTCCAAAAGCGAAAGCGATTTAATTTCCAATTATAAAGCAGAGGAATAAATTTTTGACAATTAAGATTTGATTCGGGTCATTAATATAATTAACTCCCTCAGGGCTGACAACATACAACGCACTTGTCACCTGATAAATGAAGTGCTGTACTGATCACGGAAAATGGAATTATTATTTTCAATTTGTGATCACATTAATTACGTCTCTTAATAACATGTCACATTTCAATACTGAATACAGAACAAAGGGCTAGCGTTTACTTTTTTTAATTTGCGAGAACTCTGTTTACGCGACATGACAACGTCAAAACAAGATAAAACCTGTGTTAATTCAACCTCTTGTATCCTTTACAATAGCGCGTGGCTCCGGAAAGGCGTACTATGATTTAAAGCTGACGTATTTTCCACGTCTGATTTTCCTGGAATTATCCTCGATGTTCATTTACTCACGACGCCCGATCTTGTAATGACACAACTGAAATGTACACAAATCTCCTTCATATTATGAAATGTGTAATCCAATTTAAAGTTATTGTAATTCTCCAGAGGTCTGTGGCAATGGCTGATTCTTTACAAGAATAACTAAAAAAATTGCCCGTCGAGAATGACGGAAGAATCCACATGCAGACACAAGGGGTTCCGAACACGCCTGAAAAATACACACGTAAACCCCGATTGTATAGGCACTGCTGTACAAATATTCTGTGTTGTAAGCAGCTCCAAGAATTTTCTTCAGTTCTATTTGAGATTCATGAAAAGTACGGCGAAAATTTGACCGATGGCAACAAAAATTAAATGCGCTGGCCAACTTTTAGTGCAGACCAGCAATGCCAAATTTAATAGAAATCTGGCAAACAGTTTCTGTCAGATCGATTTCTAAGACCTCGCTAATATACATTTTTCGTAAGTAACGGCCTACTTGTGGCAAGACTGAGAGATTCTTGCGCTCCACAGTTTAACAAACACCCGTCCGTGCAAAATACACGCGACTGAGGTAAATCTTCAGATCCTCCTCCGAGTAGAATTCGAAGGTTTCAGTTTCAAATCCACTGTTAACAATGGTTTGTGCTTACATTAGTCCAACAATGAACCGGCATCACATTAGTGCAAGAATGACTTGAGTGACGTGAACCCTGGTGTTTCTTACTTTTCGTTACATTACTCACTTTGCTTCGCAGTTTATATTTGTTCTTATATTTTTTTGTATATTTTTCGTATTAATGGTAGTGCGACGTTTCGTGTATTGAATGTAACAAATACGTCTCACAGAATCTAAAAGCTTCTAAGAACGGGAGTTAAGCCTTCAACTGTCATAACATCTTGACATGCGTCCTGAGACAAGACTGAAATAAATGCAAGTTACAACATGGCGACCAGCGCCTGTGGCCTGCAACTTCCGTTTCCACGTTCTACTGAGGCGACGAGACGAACGACACTCGTTTAAGGAGGACGTAACCGGACAGTACACTTCTCAAACACTTGGCGGAAATGTCGGCTTTTACACGTTTAGCGACGCAAAACCACAAACGGAAACACAAGATGCGATAAAAAATTATTGTTTCTTAAACAGGCTTTTTTTCTCCGGGGATAAAGGGGCAAAAATCATGAACAAAACGACCACCTGCCTCGAAAGAATCCACTACAAAGATCAGTTTGTTAACGCTGTTTAAGGAAATAATCGCTGTCTGCTCGTAATTCGCGATAAATCTAACCGGGAACTCACCCTGTTTTCCCGGGGTCCTCCCCACTGTGTCGCTTGGTGTGAATAGTGCCCTTCTCGACCCCCAGGTCACTGCGGCTGGCGGGGTCAGCCTGCCCTCCAACGCCACCCGGTCCGCCGTCCGAGTGGCTGGACGCCTTCCTCATGCTCGTCAGTCTGTAGAATGGAGGCGTCTCCGTGCGTTCTATGAGGCAGTTCAGCGTCTCCACGGTCTGCAGTTCGCTCATCATCTCGTCCAAGAGGCGGTCTGACCTCGCACGAGCTAGGTACAACACCACGCGCTTCGCCTGCCAGAACAAAAGCAGATCCTCCGAACAATTCGTTCTTGCCCTGTTTTCTTAGCGCCCACATAAATCCACAGGGTGGAACCTCCCTTAATGATCCAGCAGTCGCTCAGATAGTCGAACTGAACAAGAACCCAACACTGATTCCCATCCAGAGCCAGATTAACCCAATCCAAACGTATGTTCGTAAGATCCATTTTAATTGCATCATCCCATCTCCACCTAGGTCTTCCCACTGGTCTCTTATCTTCAGGCTTCCGAATCAAAATGCTGTAAGCATTTTTAATACTACAGGAAGCATCCATTTAAGATCCTGCCCTAAGTTTCGTCGTTTTTCTCGTCTCCCAACACTAATTCTGTAACCGACTTACGCACATTTCGCGACTTACGCATTTTTTTTTAGACAAAAGACAACATTCACGACGTAAAATAACCTTCAAATGCACGCACACACATAACTCGACTTTTGTTCATGGAACACGACAGAAAATTATTGCAAAAAAAAGGGGGGAAAGCATAGAAATGAGGAACTGAAAGTTTCCATTCTCCCCGCTTTACCTCACCCACTTCCGTAATTATACTTTTACGAATTCTGTGCAGAATTCCAGTGTTCCGGGGCCTTTGAGATGCTCGAAAGCTATCCAAACAATTCGTAACACTTAGCACTTCGAAGGAAGTCGCTGGCGATGAATAACCGAGTGCGATTACAGAACGACGTACGAGACAGGGCAAAGAATAAACTAGGTCACTACTTTTATATTCATTTTATGGTATATTTAACGACGCAGTCAGCAGCTCAAACCACGGGGCAGTATCACCGCATGGCAGGCAGGGTTACTAATGAATAAATAATTGGAAAACGACGTGGAAAAGGGGCTTTATGGCCTAATTAGCACAACTTAGCCTACCCTTCGAACAAACTCCACTTTTGCTTTTCGTAGACGTTTATCGACGTTTCAGAAGTGCTTACAGGCACAAGTCTGACCTCGACCTTGTCCGAACAGTTACTATAACTTAACCCACGGCTTACCCATCGCCCTGATGAAGGGAGCAGAAATCATCTTTGAAACACCTTACAGCATACTTACGTAAGGAAGAAGTTCTTGAGGCGCCATGCCAGAGATGATAAGCAGGTACCGGATGATGACCTTGAGATTGTTCGGCCACCAGGAACACAGAGTGGCCCACAACTCTTCTGTTTCCTTGGGGTGTTCGTCTGCGAACTTAAAAAAAAGGCCAAAGGTTGTAAGTTACAATTCAAAACTCATAACGCATCTCTCTGACGTCACAAAACTGAGGTAAAAATGTATACAAAATTTTGGCCCGAAATCCCGAAAGGGTAGGTCACAGCGCTGTGTTTGTCTTTTCGACCGATTTTCACGAAAATTGATAACAATGTTATGCCATCGGAGGTCGCCCAAATATCGTTCTTTTTTTAATGTTCTACGACGGTCAACAACAACATGGCGGACGTATCTGGAGGCTGCCAGCTTAGTCCGTAAAGTGAAAAACTGACCAGTTTAATTTGTGACAGTTATGAAAACGGAGGGGGGGGGGAAACAGTGAAACGCGAAACCCGAACAGAAAAAAAGTTTTTTTAAATAGAGATTAAAACAAAATGTACAAAGTTTTAAAAGAACATCACTTCCGCTGTGGTACCGGAAATTCGTGTCCGGAAGTCACGCTATTTGATTTGCACAGAAACAAATGAACTTACCGATACAATTTCGCTGCATAGAAACGCGTAAGTAATATAACAGAGCTGAGGGTACTTTATGTAGAAAATAATTTAACTTCGAAAATTCGGTATTCTAGGCCATAACGTCAGGCGCGTTGTTACTAGCGTTACGGATGGACTTACCACCTTCAATTCCACACTGAAACTGTAGGTGACACGTTCTTACAAAACTTTGCTAGCTATGAGGCTACAAGGCGCCGTGGTCCAGACGACCACAACCCAAAATTCCGCCGCTGCGAAACTACGAAAAACATTTTCGAGACTCGACCATTCTCACTTTCACTACATTACGAAACTACACAGAAAATTTTCCTACGTCATTTGTTATCCGACGCTGTTTTAACCAGACACTCAGGAGCAGTCCTTCATGACAAAATTCATGACGAAATTAATCGATTTTTAAGGAACCCGAAACATCATTACCGTGATCTCAACAGCCGGCCAATCTCTATTTTAAGCCACATGAACCCAATCCGCATCTTTAGACTATTTCCTTAAGATTCATTTTAATATTATCCTCCCATTCACGTCTGTCTCTCTCGGACTGTCCGCTCTCTTCAGATCTCCCTATTAAAATTTTGTATGCGTGCTACCTGCCCCTTCCATCTAATCTTCGATTTTACCACTCTAATAACATTGCGTGAAGAGTTCACATAATTAAGCTCCTCGTTATGTAATTTTCTCCAGTCCCCTGCCACTCCCTTCTGTGACAAGGGAAATTTGAATCGAGTGATCTTGATATTGTCACACAATGAACTTTGGAGGATGACGAGGAAGATAAGGGATGCTGGATGCAGAACAGAGGAACAGGATGCTATTGCTGGAAACATGTAACAGTGACGCAAATGTATTGTTAAGCAGAAACGGCAGCGAACACGCATACCAAAACATTAAAAACATAATGATGAAAAATTCATTTACAACCTTGCGGACGCATATAAATACGACCTGTTGCGTACACGACAGTCGACAATCATTTTGCGCAAAAGCACGACCCGTCGGAAAACAAGATGGTTTATCTGAGCTTGAGTGTGCTCATGCTGATGGCCGTAACTGCCGTGAAATCTGGCGTAAAGGAGTTGGATGCCGGAGAACTTCAGGTAAGTACAAAACTTCCGACAGTGACGCAAATACGACGAAGGGACGAAAGTCTCAGGTCCGCAAACACGCGGATATACGATCGCACTAGTCACGTAACCAATTATCACGACAACCCTGTGTGAGGAATGGATGGTTTCATGTAACCTAGCAACCGGACAGAAAAAAACACGAAAGAAAACAGCAAGGCCTTCGATGGTGAGATTCAGCGCTGAAGACAGAGGCAGCAAGTTTCCCCGAAACGTATCACTACTCATGAGACGATAAAAATCGGCCAGATTCATACAAGATGTCAAAAATGTCTCTATCAGTTCACAGTGTTGCCTACAGCACTTCAGAGGTGAACTGAAATTGTTTCCATCGCAATTCGTATTTTTAACCATTTGAAGTCCGGTGGTAACTATATGTACCACTTGTTTTGACAGCCATCAACTCTGAATTTTGCCCACTGAGTGTATTTATGGATTCTCACTGTAAACAGCGATTATTTTCTTAAAAGGCGTTTACCACCTGATCTTTGTAGTGGTGAAGAGTTGTGTTTTCTTTGCGGTACGGACTAAGTTCTTAAAATATTATTTGGACGAGATTCGGTGTCAAAGGGTTAACCTGTGCATGACTGACACTCACCTACCGACGTAAGAATACAAGCCTAAACGCATTTATAATATTCAAACGAAATGTAGTTTCAGTCCTGAAGATGGAGACAGCATGTACTTCTTCATCGTCGTCAGAGCATTAAATCCCACGTAGCTTCCTGTGTTCTTATTCATAAGTGCCAACGTTGAGATACTGAATATTACGCAAAAGATAATTTTATATACAAAGGATCACCTAAAATGTCATTTGTAATACTTTCAGGAACACATGGAAATGACGTTCGAGAAAAGTACGAATTGTGATAAATTTCCGAATTGGAAAATTAGACTGGAAAATGTATCCTTAGAACAATCTGGAAGAAACAAGATGTTCCTCAGCGGAACCCTGGACATGAAAGTGGGACTAACAAAAGATTTCAAGGTACGTAAATTTTTCTCTCACAGGGGGGCTGAGCGTTGTTCATATACTATTGTCCAGAGGTGAGATCTAGCAATAAGACGTTTCGGGACCTACTACTCTTTTTCACACGCTATAAGCCTTTCGTTGCGTTCAGAGTTTGTTGGTTATTTTTTTTAAACTTATCTGCACTGTACGTGTGTTGTTATAACCGTTGCCATGGCAACGCTGTTAAGAGATTTTTTTGCCTTATGGGATAGTACTTAAGACAGTGCGCTTACTACCTTCGATTTTCCCGTCAAAGAATGACGGGAAATTATCTGGTTCTGACCACAGAATGGTTTAAACTGCGGGTTGCTACGATGAGTGAACAAAGCCTTCGAGCATAACAGAAACGCACCTACGACATGTTTCAGCTGAAAGCCATCTTAACTAAATGTCCGAGCAAGTCCGAAAGAGGGATGTGCGAAGAGTTCCCGCCAGAGAAGATTGACGATTTCTGTGCGAAACTGCCTCAAAAGGACCAAATGTGGTCAGAATTTGTTGAACATCTACAACACTTCAAACCAGAATGCCCAGTACCAAAAGTAAGTACGATGCTGGTTTAAGTAGCGAAGTTTTGGGATTGCTTTAATATTCATCAAGTCTGTAGTGAAATAATGCGATCAACACAGGAAGACTAAAGGCACTCAACAAAATATGTAACGCAAACATAATTATGCACGGGCAAACGAAGCAGATAATGATACGATTATCTAGCGGACACCCGATTTTTTACTTACATGACAATTTAGACTCAAAATAAAATTGGGAACAGTATTAATACTTTTACTCACATGACAATTTAGACGCAAAATAAAATTGGGAACAGTATTAATAAAATTCACATACAACAGGAAGGTGTTTGAACTAACGACATCGTAAAGAAAAACGTATTTTAGTACAGCGACGTGAGACTCAGATATTTTCTAAAATGTACTAAATAAAATACCGATTAACAAAAATGCACATAATCCCTTATAATGTAAACAAAACAGAATTAATTAAGATAGCTATCTTCTGGGATGTCGCGTCATATACGTAGTTTGGTAGAAATTGTCAGACGTTTCAAAGGTGCTTTGTAAATATGTGTAAGCACCTCTGAAACGTCGGTCAATTTCTACCGCGACATCCCAGAAGATAGCCATATTCAAATTCGCCGTCGTGAAAACCTCAAGTCTCACTTAGAACGAATTAAGTAATCTAGTAACTGGAAAAGAAATCGATTCCAACACAAAATCAAGTGTTCTTCTCGGTTGTGACTTCTTGCAGACTCGCAGGCGAGAACCTCGAGTCTTAAAATCAAGTATCACCACAGTGAGTATTAAAACTAGTAGCTGACGTATTTAAAACTGAATTCAATGCTTTATTTTACAGGGATATTATAAGTTCGTCCACCATCCACTTGACATGAGCAGCATGTCCAATATGCCAATCATGGAGGGATACTGGATTATAAGAACCGAAGGCTATTACGACGGCGAAAAGGTCATGTGCGAACAAAGTGAAGTGTCTTTTGCACGTAAGAAGAAGAGGAACCACGGCTAACACACAACACGAACACGTACAATTATAAGCACTTAAAACATACACGTGTTCATATTAAAGCCATTTCTTTTACCTTGCCTTCAGTTAACCTGCAATAAAAACATTCAGATTTAAGCGCTGTGTATTTTTACAATTTACTGACTGAAATTCAAGTACTTGATAATCCACTGAAACTTCATCTTGAACTCTGAAGCCTGTGAACTATTCATAAAATAAAAAACTCACACCAAACACGTAGTCTAATTTCATTCACGTGACTATACTTTCAAAACGTTTTCGGTAGAAATTCACAGGACATTTTAAAAGCGTCAGTGAACAGGAGTGTAACCAAGAGGCACTAAGTTTAAATTCATATAAAAATAGTTAAATCCGCCAGAAAGCACTTTCATATTCTGAGATGCTAGAACAAATAAGAATGAAGAAATATAATCACCCTCTTCACCTAAAGAAGGAAAGGAGACCCAGCACTGTTACTATAAAGTGTACTCTGACTGCAAGTCCATCAACAAACAATGTCCAGACGCCATGTATCGATTTGTCAGTAGCAACTATTTTACTTATTAAATAAAATAAAAAATGTCTATTTGCCTTGGCCTGAATCACCGGTGAGAAAAAGACATCCCGAACTCCCGAAGTAAGCGCAAGGCAGAAACACACCTTCATCGTAATTCTTTTCATTTAACCAAAAATTTTCCTAAGATGGCCGTCTTCTCGGTTGTAGCACTGTGCAATATGGTAGATGTATACCAACGTATCTGAGGTCCTTAATCGTCCATCATCAGGACGACGAGTGAATTTGCAAACTCCTACCAGACTACGGACGACAGCCATCTTTGAACTGAACCACTGTAAGAACTTAAAATCTTACGATAGCCGTCCTCTTTGCTAGATATTTACAAAAGACAAGAGCTCGATCACAGGTACAGTAAGAATGAAAACCAAGTACGGATAGAGCCAAAGAGAATTACGTAATAGTAGTAGCCCCTGAGCCCTAGTGGCGACAGTGCCCTTCACCGATCATGAATACGACCACGATAGGGTGAAGTGGCAGGCTCTTGTGGACAACCTTCAGGGGTGGCATAAAAGGTGGGGAATTTCTGGACTGTACGGCACGGAATAGATAATTAATTACTTTACGAAGGAAATTTATCACGAACAACAAATCCTGTAAATAATGTAGAACAAACCAGCTGACCCCACTCATATAAATAAAATATTTCGCTACTTTCGACACACCTTACAGCAACCACGCGACTGCAATAAATTAACATAAATAATACGATTTTAGTGAGGCTTCATCCTTAAACAGAACTTGGCCTGTTATCTGTTCAATCCTTTACGAAAAGACGTCGAAATACAATCACAGGCTCCACTTACCTTGGCCGTGATGTAGAAGAGATTGTTCAGGACCATTTCCGTGGCTTCTGCAGACCCCCAACCCTCCCTTCTACTACCAGGTCGATTCAGTTCTGTCGCGTAATACTGAAAGAATAGAAAAGCCCTTGTCGTACTCAGTGGCGGTAATTAATCAACGTAAATATTTATTCATAACACACAATTTTTTCTTCTGTACAATTTATTTTAGGAGAAAAAAAAAACAGGGAACAATGGCGTAATGAAGAAAAGTGTGGGGTGCCAATGGGAATCCGTGCCCCACCCTGTATTATGTTGCGCACTAATCCAGTTCACGGCGACTGAACCTTAAGAACTAAAAATTAATCTTATCATGATCAAATGTACGCGAATCAAGCTCTGGATTTAGTTTTGAATACATTAATTTTATTCACAATTACAATGCTGCCACATAGTCACTTACTAAGGACGTAATTACTTGTACGTGAACAAAAATGCCAGAACTGCTCTGATTTCGCATGGCACGTGGGACCAACGAAAACCTTGACAAGGGGCAAGAATACAGAATCCTTCGCTGCTGACGGAAGACCTGAATCTATAGTAACAACATTTGTGCTCACCTGAAAATAAGACAGTGGATTCGCAGGAGGAACGTTTGGATCCACAAGCTCCATGTTGTGAAGCCACGGCAGTAAGTATTGCAACAGAAGCTGGCGTACTTCTGGTCGGGCTGTCTGAAAGCGATGCGTGATTTCTGCGAAAAGATGCGAACGGCACGTAGGGGTCACGATGCCAAAACAATAAGGGACGTTATCTGATACACATGTTTGATATGAACGACGTTTCGGGAGTTGGATAAGTTCCATCCCCAGGCGATTTTTACAAAACTGGGGGTCAGGCCCGGGAACAGCACAGTGTCCAGCATAATCAACTCCTTCTACGAGCTATTTCAGAATTTTGATATTGTAAATTAGAGCGTCAGTGTTCAAACTACGCCCGAAAAGAATACTTTCTTGGCATATAAAAAAAATGCAAATCCATGAATGGAATAGATCTTTGGATACCAACTTGTAAAATCTGCAGAATCCCACGTAAGAATCTACACATTTCACTCTTGAGTGCACCTACACAAAATCCAATATACAGCACATCGGAGCCTCTCCAAATTCTGAACTGCTCACTCCAGCGGCCATGTACGTCAGAGCGCGACAATCCCAGGAAACTTTATTCGAATTCCAAATGGCGGAGGATGCTCCATTATTATTCGTGTGAACTGAGGCAGACAGCTATACACAGCTATTAAATGGACTTCACAGCAAAGAAATGAGAGAGGCAGAGGAGACGTCAGTGTCAAGACCGCGACTTCGTCGAGGTGACATTTCCATTAGAACAAGAAACGAACAAAAAGAAATAAAGAGAACATCACAAATAACGCTAAAAACTAACGAAACTACTGATGACGTCCACGGACAAGAAATTCTTGATAAAAAACTACTCGCTCAGCTGAAGAAGACATTCTCTAGCTTTTGTAAAAATCCGCCACTGGAGCCTGTCCTAGGACTACACGATCATACCCTATTTCCCTAAGATGCAATTTAATATTATCCTTCTAACCACGTGATCTTATCTATTTGGTTTCCATAGTAACATCCTACATTCATTTATCATCCTCTTCAGCAGTCACCTTCAAGACTTTTCGGCGTCACAGCCCATGTCACAATCCACATTCCTACAGCCGTGAGAACCTACAATCTCTTTACGCCGTCGGTGCATTTTATGTGAAAATTCTTACAGTCGATTTCCACCGCTCACGAACCACACAGAAGCTCTGCATCTGAAATACCGTGGGCGATTTTATAAACGTAAAGCAACATGCAAAGACGGAATGACAAAAACAATAGAAAACTAACGCTAATTAAGCTCACGTGACGATTAACATTAAACACCACGTGTGCACGGGCTGTTTACTGCTGTTACTATGGTTATGGCTTCGCAGAGGTCAACTGGGACCTCTGGTTCAATTGCACTATAACATATGGTCCATTACAACGAGGACCTCATCATGTGCAGATATAAAGATATTATTTCTACGCAATTAAACGCACAGTGAGATGACATTGAAGTTCTGGAACACAGATCCAAAATATCTACGGAATTAGGTCCGTAGAGACTTACAGTGACAGTGCATGAACTGCTGAAACGTCGCACGGTGGAAGGAACAAATATGAATGATGGGGAAGGGGGTTGGTCGTGGGATATTCCAAGTGACTAGTACAGCATGAGGGGGCAGAAACAATGAGGATCGGCAGGAAAGCCGATGCCCCGGGGCAAGACTTAATTCGAAAGAAATGCTCTACTTTGTTGGCAGCCGGTTAATGGACCGAACGAATATCACGAAGGCAAGATCGGGAAAATAAAATTGATAACAGCCACAATAAAAACGCAACGCGATTAATTGAACTCCGTTAATTGTTAATACGAATCGATGTTTTCGCGGCGGGGTTGTAGCGCCGTGTAGTCTAGTAGACGTTTCGGAGATCCTTGCTGACTCCATCATCAGGGCGGATATCGTTATACTACACGGAGCTACAACCCAGAAGACAGTCAGCCATCTTGTGTTTGTTTTAACAAATCCCCGGACGAAGTTCGGCCACAATGCAGTAGGACACGGATTTTTTTTTCAGCAATGTCAGCCTTGAGGTTGTCGTGGCATCCAACATGTCCGTCGTGTTTTCTCGGGAGTGGTTGCCAACGTGTCGTAATTAACCACAATCCACAGCTCTAGCAAAGTCTCTCTGCAGCACTAACAAGAAGAAGTTCAAAGTCTGCAGGTGAACGGTAAACTTACCAGAAAACATTGGCATGGTTAATTCCGGATGAAGCTGTGCCAACTGCCGAGACAAATACATCTGAGATCGACAGTAAGTAGTCGATAACAGAAGATCGAGTGTTCCTCGACCCTTATCACCGCCTGCAAGAAAGAAATAAAATAATTACCAAAAACTCACACACAGGTTCATTTTAAACGCGCAGGAACAGTGGCGGCCTCTTGTGAACACGGCAATAAATATTTATTGACTAGCTGAGCGACTATCAGTTTAACAAGTTCCTGCCCAATGTATTATTAGAACAGCAAACGCGTTCCGAGGCACACAGCAGCCCAAAAGACTTTTAAAACGGAAGAAATTATAAAACGCACAAAATATATTTTCTTCTGAAACAACGGATGTTAATAGTCGAACGTTCGTGTCCATGTTTTCAGACGGACAGAACGACGCAACAATTTCGGAACAAAAACGTAGCTACAGTGATGTGACGCAATGACGCACTTCGTCAGCTGTTGTCTCCATTTAACTACGCATTTACACACACACACAAAAAACACGTAACACAATATCGAGGCTGGGTTAAATTAGATTTTGAAATTGAAGCTTAAAACCCTTTAATATTATGTTTGATTAAAACGCAATTTTTTTTTGTTTTTGTTGTAAAACGCATGAACAGATAGACAATCTTCCATGTGAAATGACGGTCAGTTGGTGACACAGCCTATCCGCCGAGTGGTTCGCATTTTTGAAAGTTTCAGGCGGCAAATGAGTAATTTCATGGAGCAGAGTTCTCTGTGAGAAGCTAATAGACGCTCAGTAGCTAATAAATTCCCCGTAAATTTTACAGAGTAATATGCATACTTAAGCTTTCATATGGATCTAAAGTTGGACGTGACTGAGAAGCAAATGGAAACTGCAAAGTTACATTAAAGTTTGTAAGTTTCTTTACTAACTGAGCAACGACTAGATGCCTCAACACCGTGGACTTCGTTTGTTTTATTTATATTTATATATATATATATATATAATGTGAAACGATAAATATAATTACCAGCGAGAAACCACAAAGAAAGTCCGGGATTTACATTTCCTGAAATTAATACAAGGGGTAAATATGATACGTCGTGCAACGAATTAACATTTTCCACCGGAGTGTAAAAGACTGGGAAAAAACTTTGAAAATGAGCATCGCTAACGGCTAATCATAAACAAGTATTTTCTTTCAGGCAGATTTTAAATCGGACGCAAAAACAATGAATTTCGAAGAAATGAGAAGAGCATTACGATTTATTTTTAAATTTACAAAAGAAACTGCGCTAAATACAGAATGGCAGCTTACTGCTCAACAAAGGACGAACTGGGACTAAACAAAAACATTTCACTAAACCCACGATACTTAGATGACGCACCAGGAAAATATATTTATATAAAACATTTTTCGAAGAAGGAAAATAAATTGTTTCCTTGAGTAAAACACACTTTCGGTTAACTGATTCCATAAACCACAGATTTCCTTGAGAAGCCGAAAATCGCTCACCAGGTCAATAAATTTCCCTGTCTTTATGGAATTCACGTGTTCATGACCGTGTTCACAACATCCCGCCGATGGATACTATGACGAGACACCAAAGTGCAGCTCAGATCCACACCCACGTCCTGAAGTAAATGTCCAGCCGTAGAGAAGTCTCAAGAGATGTAAATATATTCAACATACACTTAAAAAAACTCAAGAGATGACCCAGCAATTACCTTGGACGGACTGAAGAGAAATCTTAGTAACATACGCGGTCTACGGGCAGAGATTTGAACCCGACACCTCCCGAGCAGTAAGTAAAAGTCAGTTCGACTGTCTGATGTTTGTCTTATTAATTCATAATTAACCTATCGAGCTGTAGAAGGCTACATTAATTAACGTAGATATTCCCGCTCCAGAATTTGCCTAAATGGACCAAATATGCTAGAAATAAAACTTTCGCGATAACAGATAAGATACGAACCAGGGTTTGCCCAAATAAAACCAATATCGGGTCGTTCGTTGTTATAAATGGTTAAAAAAAAGTTGACAATCGACTGCAACCTTTGACACAAGAGCCCACAATTAGACGCCTTCCCCCATGACAAGACAAGAAATGTTATTTTTTTAAAAAATTGTTCCTCGAACACAATGTCCCTACGTCACTTGAACGTTCCGGGCCACCGCCGGCGCAGCGCGCCGTCAGGCACATGCGCCGACGGCGAAGCCACCCGGAACGAACGGCGAGCAACCGAGAGTGAGCCCTTCGTTCAGTCCTTCAGGGCAGCGAGCGACGCAACGATCTCCAATGACCTGCCCGGCTACTGGGACTGCGGGTCCACGTAAGAAGCGCTCTTAAAACACAGTAAAGATCTTGAAACAGAACTAAGGCAAAACTTAATACGATAATTTTCCACGTTTAAGAAACAGGAGCTACGGATTTTCATTTTTATATTAACAAAACTCATAGCAATTAAACGGTACATCTGAAAGACAGGCAAAAGAATAATTAATAAGATTTATATTATAAAAATCGCACACAAAGGAATATTTTAAGCGCTGCTATTAAATTTATCGTAATATATAGAGAATTCATTCAGAAATAAAGATGTCGGGTAGTAACGCGTTTGCTGGAAACGAGACTAACTACACAGACACGGAACCAGGATGGACGTACCTCGTAGAGAGAATTGAACTGTGCTACTCTCTTGCGCTCATCATACTCGGAACCTTGGGTAACTGCATCTCTGTCCTTGTTTTCTTCACGACAAAACTGCGCAAATTATCTTCGAGCTTCTACCTAGCCGCGCTGGCAGTCAGTGACACGGGGTTTCTCATCGCCCTCTTCATATCGTGGCTGAACTCGATCGGAGTGCCGCTGTTCAACGTCTCCGGGGTGTGCGAGGTGGACAATTACTTGATATACGTGTGCAGTTTCCTCAGTGCGTGGCTGGTTGTCGCCTTCACAGTTGAGAGATTTGTCGCAGTTCGGTACCCACTGCGTCGACCGTCCATGTGTACAGTAGCGCGCGCCAGGGTTGTCCTAGCCAGCCTCACGGCACTCGCACTGACCCTCAACGTTCCCAACTTATGGTCCGTGCAGATAGAAGTATTCAACAACAAGCCGATCTGTAGTGTAAACCCACAATTTACAGTTTTGGCCACGATAACTAACCACGTGGATTTCGTGGTCACCTTCATATTGCCGTTCTTTGTTATTGCGACGCTGAACGCTTGGATCAGTCTCATGGTATGGCAGCTGGCACGCGTCCGTCGCGTCCTGACGCTGACCTCGGCAGTACCAAGCCACGGCCAGCGTCGCCGTTCACAAGGGCAGGCTCAGCACGCGGCCCAATCGCCCAACTCAGAGACCAAAGTCACGAAGATGCTGCTAGTAGTGTCAACGGTCTTCCTCTGCCTCAACTTGCCCTCCTACGTCATACGGGTGCACGTGTACGTCCAGGTAAGAAATACCGACTACACTAACTCCATTTTCTCGTATTAATCTGTAAGGGTACCAAAAATTACTAATTTAATGTAAGCAGCAATACGGATTCTACAAAGTGGCAATGGAAAACCCCCAGTGAATTTGGCACAGGGAGTGAACAGGATGTTCATCACCGAATTAACCAAAGCCCTCCCCCGGCCCCTGTCCTGGGCCAACAAAATCCAGTCTCCTTCAACTCCTATCTCCCGTAGATCCCGCCTGAGATTCTCCTCCCATCTACGTCTAGGTCTCCCCAGCGGTCTCTTCCCCTCAGGCTTCCCAAAGAGTGGACCCAACCAACCAGATGCCTTACGGAACCCGAAGGTTCATCACCGAATTAACCAAAGCCCTCCCCCGGCCCCTGTCCTGGGCCAACAAAATCCAGTCTCCTTCAACTCCTATCTCCCGTAGATCCCGCCTGAGATTCTCCTCCCATCTACGTCTAGGTCTCCCCAGCGGTCTCTTCCCCTCAGGCTTCCCAACCAGTACCCGGTGCACACCTGTTGTCCCATCCATGCGCGCTACATGTCCCGCCCATCTAATTCTTCTCGACTTAATCACTCTTACAATACTGGGGGAGGATGTTAGCACGTAAAATTCCTACAGCCACATATTCTGTTGGGTCCCGCAGACACGGCTACTCCGATCAGTGAACCTTTTATTTTCTATCGGCCGAAAATTTCTACTCCGGAAGTCAAAATGTGTCTTTCGTGGTCAATGATGACAAAAACGGAGCTGTAAGAAGAACTCGCAGATTCCATATTCCTGAATCTTTTGGTACCCCCAACAGATCAGGAACACCTCGGTCTATCAGAACCCCCTTTTTACGTGGAGACAAAAATGCCCAATTTTTTTAAAGACTTTAAAAAATAAAACAACCGGTGGATAACTTGAACAACGAAGGATTCACCTGACACCTTTTTTTCTGCAGGGTTTTAAATCTGCCAGTGAAGACGAAGGGTTGATAATTCTTCAGCACGTCGCCCAAGTATTCTTCATCACCAACTTCGGAATCAACTTCGCGCTTTACTGCGTAAGTGGGAAGAACTTTCGCAGGGCTTTCTGCTCACTTTGCTGCCGATGCTTGCGCCGACGTTTCGAAAGCTCCCAAGTCACTGGTAAGTCTTCGCGTTTTATCTAAAGGTCAATTCTATAGATTTCATTCAACAAAGCAGACGGCAAAATCAAGTGTCACCAAAAGTCGACAGACACTTAAATCTCTACAGTGTCGATCCTTAAGGATCGACAAATCCAGATCTGCGTTTTCTTCTTAAAGTGTGAGAATAATAGAGAGGGCTTTTTAATATTACCCAAACTGCGCAGATTATATAATAAATACGTATATTGAATTTCAATGCTAAGTTTCAGAAAATTATTTTCGATCCACCAGATTATCCTTTACTCGAGAGAACTGAATGTTTCATAACAACGTTACCACACTTGTTGTGACTTTATGCTGTATTTATAGCAAGCAAAAATGGTATTTGTGCCAGACCGTAGCAACACACTCAGGCCGTGTTTTGCTACATTTACTTAAAATCCTTACGATTGCTATAAACTTTTTTTTCCAATCTCATAATACTATTCTTTTACATCTGTATCGGAGACTAAATTTCATTAAAATAATGTGACTAAATTTCTACCAAAAACTCGACATCATCTTTACAACTGACGTACTACAGATGGCGCACAAAATCATACAAGATCGAAAGTTTAAACAAAAGCACCAATATTCCTAAAATGGTACACAAAAATCCATGGAGATTTGTACATTTAGCCACCTGCTCGTCATGGATTCCTTCCATTGGGATTACCTTATGGAAAAATTGTTCAAAAAAGCCTCAATAATGCAATTCAGGGCTTTGATTGTTCAAATTCGTGGAGTAATTACTCGTTTTTCGGAAGATGCAAGACAGAACGTTTGTCATATCGAGCATAAAGGTCAAATCACCACGAATATTAAAGCTTTTCAATCAGGTACAATTTCACGCGACATTCTGTATAACGACGTCTTTGCTTTGATTGCTGTATTTAAAAAATAACTGCAATGAGCCATCATTAAACCCTTCCGATACGAGAAAGTAATGTCGCCATTAATCCAAGAAAGATCTCCCTCCGTATACAAAAGATAATTGGCACAAACACACAAGAGTGGTCAGCACGCAATAATTAATAACACAAGCGAAAAAATACGTCGAAAAACAGCTGATACTCTGTGACCGTTGTGCGGATATACAACAAAAACATAAAACCGGATGTAGCAGAACCAATAAGCCAGTCAGCTTTCCCTCTCACTTCCTCTGGTATAAAGAACAAAGCCTGCAAAACTCTTAAATCATTACTGGCACTAAAATGAGACATCAGACGAACTAATTAACGTGCCAAATGCCAGATAACTACATCGCACGAAAATACCAGAGTCACAGCAAAAACGCCATAGAACCATCCACCACGCTGAGTCCAAATTATATCCCGAGCGAAATTAATAAAGTCTACAACACTGACGGATGTGAGATTTCAGGTTCTCACGGCGGCTAATATGAGGGTGACTGTTCTGGGAAGATTGCCTTAAGAAAAAACCGGGTGGAAGATCGACGCCTCCACAAGTTGCCAAGTAAGCGTCGAGGCGACTTCCTACGTCTCAAATTCTAAAAAAAAAAATTACTACATTTCTGATATACAAATGTACGTAAATTAATTTCATTCCCATCAGAAACACAAAGGTGCTAAGTCAATGGAGAGGATTTTTCTCAGGACATCGAAGGACCTGTACAGAGACAAAATCACTTAAGTCGTCGTACTCGATTCCATGAAAACTAAAAGTTTCTGGACGACGACTAAATCCTTAAAACATCTTACAGTAACCCTGTCGGAAACACACGGCGTAACCATGACAACCCTTCCAGACTAATCGGCCTGCTGCGTTAGTCTAAACCGCGAAGACCATGAAAAAATAATCGGATTTAATCTCCGGTTCCCGTGTTTCCCTTTGCCTCAGGAACCTTCTACCTCCAGTCATGTCTGTCCGTCCGCAATCAGCTCGAACAGACCTCCATCGACAAAGACTAGATCATTTATATGAAGTATTAAAGCAATTCGCCACCACTTCTAAATTAGGTAGTGATCTGCAGAGACATCTTACCAAAACGTCGGTCATTTGATTTCTTACGCAAACGGGCATTTTGGGGGGAAATTATTTGTACCTGATTAACTTACTTCTTTCCTTCAGAACCTAACAGGTCACTCCGCTAGTCAATAAACTGGACGCCTTTTATGGAACATACCCGCGGACAGATTAATTCAATGCAGCATCGCAAAGGGGGCAAGGGGGAGACAATGATTAACGATGTATTAAATAAACTTTCGGGCCCCACAAAAGGAGACAAGTGTCTTGCTGTCATGAGAGAGTGTCGTGTAATGTTCATTCATTAAGATAAAATATTATGTAAATTACAAAATAAGCTTGAGAGTTATACAAATATAAAAACTTCTGCAGAGCGCAAATACGATAAATTTTCGGCTACATATTTTAGAAACAACCGATAATTGACTTGCCATTAAAAATCAAACTTCGCGTATAATTCATGCGAGTCTAGAGTTTATCACTGTGAAAACAATTCTGGTCATGAAGACAGCTAGCACCCCTGAAAAGTCGGCAACCTTCTACCAGACTACACGGCACAACCCAAATGCACTACAGATTAATAGCCGCAGGTCAGTCTGAATCTAGTTTTGCTCACATCGATTACCCACGGGCTACGATGCATGGGAACTCGACGAGGAATGGACCATCAAATTACCACATGTAAGCACGTGACAAATACAGATCTAAAAAAAAGTGAAGCATTAGTTTCCCGATTCAATTACTACCACAAACAGCCTATAAATGTATGATCCATATTACGTATTCATAATTCTGAAGAGCCTATACATAAATGAGCATAAAATTCATTTGCTCATACATGCATATGTAAATCAGCATCACGCATACAATGGACCGTAGTCTGGATTGCGTACGTACGCGTTTGCGCGTATTGTCAGGATGATGGATAAAATGAAGGCAGATGACAAAATGGACACAAAATTATTACGGAAAGAACCCACTCGGAAGACCCGGTCAGAGATTACATGATATTATTAAAATTGATAGCTTGGAGGTTGTGGATTGGATTAATCTGGCTCGAGACAGGGACCGATGGCGGGCTCTTGTGAAAGTGGTAATGAGCCTTCGAGGGGGAGAGGGGGTTTCCATGAAAGACGCTACATTCGTTGACTAGCTAAGGGTACTGTTCCCTCCTGAAGAAAGACAATATATTTATTTATCAGCGGCATTGCAAGCTTCGTCCATAAGAGTGTCGTAATAAAAGAGAAACTTCGCTATCTGAACACAATATTTTTCGCAGAAACCCCTGGGCTAACGAGTACATGTCTTTTGTCCGCAGTGCTTTCGGAATACGCGAGGTCCTCCGGGTCAGTGGCCCACAGACGGGGTGCGGCGCTCAATGGATTCCAGGCGCCGTGGAACGAAGCCCACGAGCTGTTACCACTCAGCAACTGAACAACACAAGAATTCGACAGGAACAAACCGGGAAGGGAGACACTTGGTAATGTTAGCGGTAAGTGAGCGTTTCATATGATGAGCACAGAAATAAGCGGCTAACACTGTGGTAGCAGAGCCAAAGTTCCATTTCCGTAATTCTTACAACCCGTCTTCCCCAGATCAGTCTTAATGTTATCCTCGAATTTCCTTCTACTCTTCTGGAACAACCTCCAACACGTTCCCCATTTTAAGTTCCTACTCCACGCCGACGACACCCGATGACCCACACGATTACTAAAATCATCAAATGGCTACAAATATTTTTCTCCGCACTTTGTGACATTTGCAGTTTCTGTTCTTCAGAAATCAGACACTGAGGAAACTGTATGGACCAGACTCATTGATGTAATTGTAAAATTAAATACGCCACAAGAAAACTGTGTAAAAATCAAGATAAACAAACAGAAAGAACATGTGACATGTGCAATGCTGAGACACTTAGCATGATAATATTAAAATGGATCATACCGGCGTAGGCTTGCTGAAAACCAAACGCACAAGACAAGCCAATCAGTTGATTAACTGTTGTAACTTATTGTGTAAAATCTCTGTGTCTGTGAAAATCTGTATCTCTTGATGATTCATGAAAATAAACAAACCTGTAGGCCACTTCACAGGGTTTTAATTCGGGAGTGCATGAAACATAATTACTCTGCTTTATACGTGTTTAAGTTAAGTGCCCACCTGCTGTGACACACGTCAGCATCAATCATCGTGGTTGCTAAGGGTCTCGTTAGGCACGTAAATTCTATGGGCAGCCGTCAGAATAATTTTTATACACGAGAAGATTAAATTCGCACGTAATTACCTCTGCTTTCAATAACCTATTATTAATGTAAAGCCGTATTAGATTTTGCTGTCATTTGTCTACGAGTACATTATTTAAAACTATTAATGGTACTATGGGTGACAGTCAACGAGAACACGAAATGGGTGCAATCTGTCATGGCTGCTGACGGTATAATGCACCGATAAGTGATGAATAATACTGTTCCGGCGAGAGCAATTACGAATGCCCTCCAGATAATCACACACACCCTTGAACCACGCTGACGTGCAGAAATGGTGACGATACGCCAAAACGCAAAAGTACTTGACAACAACACAGGTCTGGTAATCCCAGTTACTGAAATATAGGGCAATGACGCTCGTTTCTGTCGCAAAATAACAATTCATAAAACGAGATTCGTTTTCGACGCCGTGGAATGAAATCAGTGGGTACCCCAGGCCACAGGGCAGAGACGAGAGACGCTGACAAAATTTCGGTCAGAAAATCTGAAAGAATGATTTGAGGTTCTCGCGGAGGCCCTGATGATGGAGGCAGTTGGTTAACATCGACCAGACTACACGGCGCAACAACCCAGAAGACAGAAATCTTCGAGTCCAAAGACGTTTGTCTTCTGGGTTATAGCGCCGTGTAATCTGGTAGAACTTTACCAGCGATTCAAATACCCCTGCTGTCTTCATCGTCAGGGAGATTAACTCACCCCCTACAACCCAGAAGGCAATACCTTTGAAAGAACGAGATGAGACGTGCGAGATTTATGCAGAGGCAGGAAGTTAACGATGCATCTCCAGAAACTGGGGTTTGAGGGAGTGGAATGGACTTATCTGGCTCTGGACAGGGTACACTGCGGGCTCTGGTGAACACGTAAGTAAATATTTAGGTCCCATAAAAGGCGGGAGAGGGGATTTCTTGACTGGCTCGAATTCTTCACGCTGATGATGCTGTATCAACTAACACACCCTTCACCACAATCCCTGGACACGCAACATCCAGAAACGATCCATTTGTAACACAAGACTGAAAAGGCGTGTTCTTTAGAAGTACACTGACGTTCCAAAGGTGTTCTTCACATAGGTCACTGTTGCACTGTAATCGGAGACAACAAAACACGAACAACACCTTAACAAAAAAATAAAATCGACTTACCCGTGTCGCCTTCCGCTGGCAGGGGACCGACTGCTCCAAAAAACCTTTTGTCCAACACCTGAAGGAGCTGAAGAGCTGTCTCATGTACCAACGTTCTTGGACACCCGGTATTCATCAGAGTCACATTGATCACCGCAGTGTAATGGTCACACGGATACTCCCTGTTAAAAAAAACAAGCGCCCTTATTTTGGGAGCCAGCCGAACTTGCAAGAAATAAGTTTGTAAACTCACAGCGCTCGCACAGACGAAGCGGAGAGAATGCATCAGGAATTTTTCCTTCGGCAAACCAGCCCAAGAGTACACACGAAGTCTTCAGTTACTGAACGTCAAACAAACCGTCAATCAAAAACGTATATCGAAGCACACAGATTATTCCCAAGACATGAAATTTGCGTTAAAGAACATCGATTTCTCCATCGCGGTGAAGCCTCTGCCGAAAACTACTGCGAGCTTCAAAATTAAATGCAACATACTGTACACGTAATCTCCAAGCATCGTGCATTTTAATTGTAGGTTATCAGACAGGACAATTACAGATGAAGATTCGAACAGCGGCAAGCAAATCACTTCGCCAACGTTCTAATTTTATCATGAATAAAACCACGATTTCTGCCTGTAGTACTCGGAGTGTGCTAACATCTCAAGGCATTCATCAGGTAAATCTGGTAACTGGACGTGAAGAATCTCTAAACCTAACCTAACCTTACTAGCTTAATATCCTGTCTTCTGTCCAACGCGTCAGGTCAGGGGGGGGAAGAGACGATGATGCACGACCCAACATTCAAACCGAGCTCGAATAATTAACATGTAAGACATTTGCACGTCCGACATGCAAGATTCCCTGCGCGTAATTTTAGAAATAAAAGAAAATTAATAATTTTTCTAGGAGTTTTCTCGCAAAAATTACCTTCCTCTTTTTTCGCAACTTTTACGGACGTTGTATAAGTTTTCTATATTCCAACGCCCCCCTCCCCGTGTCTAATTTTCGAAACAGAACCAATATTTGTCCCAGGGTTCTTCATATGAGGAGCATATTTTCAATTGCCTTTCTTTACCTGCGAGTCACTTGGGGGGGGGGGGGGGGCGGATATTATATACAAATAGACGTCTTTCAGTAACAAGAGATAAGTAGCTCGTGTGACTGTGCAGTTACTGTCTTGAACTTCAGAATCCATAACAGAAAACCAATGACGATAAAACCGACTTCTCCGATTAAAACACTCTGAAAACGGAAATGTATGAGACATGTTTACCTTCACGAATAATTATGCAGGTTTCGAAAGAAAGAAAAAAGCTTTTCAATGAGAGTGCAGAATAATAGCAGTCGGTCGCCGCAATGGCTAGTTACAGGCTGGGCGACCCGAGTTAATCCCCGGGAGGGGCAGGAATGTTTCTATTCGTGATGGGCTGAGCCCCGTACTGCTTTCATATGCAATTAGCACAGAGGCTCGTTCTCCCGGGGGGTAACGCGCCTGGAGCGCGGACCTAACCAGAACTCCATTTAGCGTCGAGATTAACACTGAGTAGAGTTTTACCTCCGAGGCAAGGGTGGGATTACGAACGTCGATTACCAAGGGCATGTTCTCGGTGCGTTTTATGTGATTAGGGTAAAAATAAGGAACCTAGCAAACTTGTATCAGCTGTGAAGTAAATTACAAAAATTGAACATCGCCTTATTGCTGAAAAGAGAATACGTTTACATTAGTTTGTAGCCAGTGGCAGACAGCCAATTATTCAGTAAAAGTTTAATGAGAAACTTTATTAATTATTAGAGACTTCTTTTCAAATTTCTCAATAATTATATTATTACTCTTTAAAAAGGCGAGTTTTCGGAGGGAGGGTAGGCTTCTATCAGCTTCTCCAGAACGACTTTGTTCCGCGTAGCTAGTTCAACATAGAAAAACATTTTAATAACCTGAGTTGTCAACTTTTAAACACAATTATTTTTTATTTCTTTGCACTTTGAAATTACCTGTCTCGGCGCATGTTTATTTATCAGTGTTACCGCAATGTAAAATTAAAGTTTAATTAACAGAAAATACATTTTCTGAACGTAAACACGAACACCATCATTTCTGCTAT